TATGTCTGTGGTGTCACCAAAGCCAAAGCAATCAGGCTGACAAACATGAGAAAAAAGGGATTGCCACTCTTGCCAGGCAGAATGTTGGCACTGTTATTGGCGTCTCCCTCATCCCCTGCCCTACTTCTCCCCCTCCCTTGCTTCACTGTTTTGCCTCCTTCCTGCACCCCTGAAGTGAACAGATAATCCCTAAGCCCTATCCCCATTAAAGACAGGCACATCACGCAAACCTGCCCTCCCTGCAAAGCACTCTGCCACTCACACAAATGCACGCACTCTGTTGCACATGCATGCAGCTTGCTCTCATGGAAGCAAGAGGAAAATAGCTCAGTGGGGGGTTAAGCAGTGTGTCAGCCACAGCAGCAGAACACATTTCTGTCTGTTTCTTTATTGTCTTCCTTCCACAGTACTAAAACATCCCCGGTGGCAGGCATGTGGCAGACTTTGACGATGAGATAAGGAGTGGAAGGGACTTTTGAGGAAGCTCAAATTTAATAGGTTAGCTTTTATGACGCCATGGTCACACTCAGACACACACCACGGAATGTGACGTGTTTGTCAGATGAGTTGTTGTATAGAACTTTTAAATAGTGCACCAGATATGTGTAACCTCTGCCAACATCTACTGGATTAAGATAAAACTCACTTTATTTACCAATGACTTTACTTGTTATCATTTTATTGAAGGCGGTGCAGTTTACTTATCCATTTGTATCTCCAAAAAGGTCACGCCAACATTCTGATACAGATCTGATAGCTGAGTCGGTAATAAATAAACAAATGCAGAAATTGAAATCATAGTGTTCTTCTGATTTGCAGGATCTGAAAACACAGCTTGTATTTCTAGTTAGTCTGAACTTTCTCATGTGGGGATATACTCACGGTCAAACCGTGAACACGTTGCAGGAATATAGTCCAAGTATGGTAGAAGTTGACCTCTAGTGGCCAAAGTGTGAACTTTACAAGGTAAAAATCCGACTGTGCCTCTTTCAGCCAATAAAATATTACAGGGTAAGAGCTATATTTAGAGAGAAATAGAAATGAAAAATGCAAAAGAAAAATACTGATCGTAAAAATAATCAATTAAAAGTAGACATTGTCATAAATTGTGATCATCTTGTTTCAATGCAAATATGAAGGCTGCAGAGTCATAGCAAGGCACAGTAGTGGAAATCCTTTGACCACATCCTACACTGATGACCTCTTCATTGTGGACCGTGCCCGGCAGAAATGAATGGTTTGTGCCCACGTAAAGACACGTTTAAGGGAATTGACTGTCCTGTGAGATCATTCAAAACAGTTTACATCGGTGTGGTCTGTGGCGGACAGGGAGCCAGCAGGGCTCATTGCTGGTTACCGTCAAAAACAGTCATGTTGTCTCTGAACAGAGAGCATGGCTGCCATTGCAATTAGCTTACACTGTCTCTAGCATGTGAAGATAAAGCTGGGGTTCAACTATAAAATTGATATCCCCACTTTTTTTTTAACCTGTTACCTGTTTACTTTATGCGAGACTATTTGTTTGCAGGTAAGAATGCTGCTGACATCCTTAAAAGAGTTTATGCTAAGCATTGTGTGTTTACGAATAAGGTGGATCTTAGATCCACCTTATTTAAGAATAGAGAAGTATGTATTAAATATAACCTCAAGTTTGAAGAATCTTTATACATCAAACAAACAAGAGCACAACAAAGATAGATAGTAAATGTTGTGGTGGTTTTCAATCTTGGTTTTCCAATTAGTGTTGTGCTTTAAGCAATATTCAGTGCTTAAAGACAAATACTCAACAGAAAGACACTACTGGGACATTTAGTACAACAATGCCTCTATCTACCAGCAGGGGGCAGCACTCAGCAACGGCTCCTTGTTTCACAGAGGAAATGAGTGGATGTAGTTCCGGGTTTGTGCTGACGCGTCCCTCTTCCTCTCATTCACCGACGTGTCAGTCCTGTTCAGTCCGCTCTGAGTAGCTTCCACACCGGCCTCTCTGCCAGAAAAATGCCCCCGAAAGGTAGCAACAAGCAGCAGTCCGAAGAGGACCTTCTGCTGCAGGACTTCAGCAGGAATCTGTCGGCCAAGTCAACGGCTCTGTTTTACGGGAATGCCCTCATCGTTTCAGCCATTCCTATCTGTGAGTACAAGCAGAAAAAAAACATCCGCTGCTAACTGCCTCAGCTAACGCTGAAGGACGAGAAAAGTCTAAGCAAAGAGGAAAAAAAGAAAGTAACGCCACGTAATGGCTTACTGATGCAAATCAACAGTAGTGATGCAAACGGTTAAGCTAGTTTTCTTGAGCTGTTGTGATAAACCAGCACAAAATTGTGAAGTGTGATGGGAGCTGTAAAGATAACAATTAGTGCTGATTTTATGAAAGAGCGGCAAAAGGAGAGTCACCTTTAAAAGTCATTTCATTTGCAGTTTACCTGATGTCACTTCAGGGTCTCTGCAAAGCATTGTCTGGCTAAAAGCTAACTAAACATCTTCCTGAAGATATCATAATCACCGTGGTGAGACATGGTGGCAGCATCAGGGAATCTGCTCAAATCTGACTGGATGACGGGTGGAGATAAATAAAGGACTAAACCGTCCGAAACCATAAAAAGAGTTTGGGGATGAGGTTCCCCCAACCAACAGTGACGAAACAAAACATACAACCAGATCCACGATTACATGGTTTAGATGAAAGCATATTCATATACTAGAATGACTCAAAATCAGGATCTGAATCCACTTGAGAATCTTGTTTTAAAGTGTAAACTGAAGTTCAGATGCTCCCATTGAGTTTTTTAAAATGAACTGGTATGTATTTGCATCTGTATCTGCAGCAGGAAGAAGTACCCTTACAGACTTCGAAGTAGTAATTACAGGGTTTCCCCAGTGTATTAAAAGCCTGGCGGGCCACCAGGCTTAGCAATGCTTAGTCTTTTTAAAATGTTTGTAATTTTTAAGACTTTATAGTTGGTGTTTTGGAATTAATCTTCAATATTTCAATAACGCATAAAAATCAAGTGATATTTTCAAATTCCTTGCCAACTTCAAAAATGTTTTAACTTAAAAACTCAACAGACTGCTGGATGAATAACTGTCCTGGGACCCAACCACCACTAGCACGTTTTCTGGGGGAAACCTCGAATTGGAGCAAACAGTGGTTATTGATTCAGGGGAACTCGATGCACATGCATACAATACAACATTTTTGACTTTTTTCTTTTGAAAAGACGTTTACATTTTGTTCTCCTTGTCCCCTATTGTGCTGCATTTTGTGTTAGTTACATACACACTAACAAGTACATTGAAGTTTATGGTTGTGATGAAGTTTTTTCAGGATGTGCTCCCACTTAAGTCTTTATCATGCAGCTGAGTGATTTAGGGAGAAAATAACTTTGTTAGGTTGACCGCATGGTGCAGTTTTGATAGTTGTGCTTCTTCAATGCAGTTTGTGTTAGAGCAGTGAGAAATTGTTCATCTAAGTTCACAAAAGCTACAAATTTTAGTCTAGGCTAGGTGTAGCATCGGAAAAAATGAAATTGTATTTCAGATTTTTTTTTTTTTTTTTTTTTTTTTTGTACGTGTCCTCACAGGGTTGTTCTGGAGGATCTGGCACATGGACCTTGTCCAGTCTGCGGTGCTGTACGCTGTCATGACCCTGGTCAGCACATACCTGGTCGCGTTTGCCTACAAGAACGTCAAGTTTGTACTCAAACACAAGTAAGAATAATAAAAAGAGCAGCTCAGTCGATCATATTGACAAAATAGGAAAATGTTGGTGGGAGGTTATATGTAGATTTGCACAATTTCTTGATTTTTTTTGTTTGCTAAGTTAATCTGCTTTTAAAATAGTTTCAATGAATTTGCTGCTTTGTTTTTGTTTCAGAGTGGCTCAGAAACGAGAGGATGCCGTTTCCAAAGAGGTAACCAGGAAGCTGTCTGAAGCAGACAATCGCAAGATGTCACGCAAAGAGAAGGATGAAAGGTGAGACTTCTTTTCCCTTCTTTTTTTTAAAAAGTTGATCAATTAAGCCAAACTGAACATTGTTTTTGTCTTTTTTAAGAGGAAATAAACCCAAAGCTTTACTGCACTTTATCTTACATCATTAGTGAGAAAGAGATTGACTCAATTTTTCCTTTTCTCCAGGATCCTGTGGAAGAAGAATGAGGTGGCTGACTATGAAGCCACCACCTTCTCCATCTTTTACAACAACACCCTCTTCCTGGTGCTCGTCATCGTCGCTTCCTTCTTCTTGCTCAAGAACTTCAACCCCACTGTGTATCCTTGCAGTCAAATTACTTTTCCGTGTTGATCACATGTGAGATTTGTGGAGGTCAGAACCACTGCCTAGATCTGAAATTTAATTAATCCATTCTTGATTTGTACTTGGTTCAAGCTACAAATCTGCCTTAATCTACCTTTGTGGAGAGAGGGCCATTGTAAATCTGAAAATTAGTTGTTGCTTGGAAAAGTGGATTTTTTTTCTCCTTGACCTTTTGCTCCCAGCAACTACATTCTGTCCATCAGTGCCTCTTCAGGACTCATTGCTCTTCTGTCCACCGGCTCCAAGTAAACCAAAAAGAAAATGGACAAGAAGTTGGAGGGATATTTGATGGGTGGGACTGGGTGAGGATGGAGGATCAAGAAAAAGACACAGGATCTAATTTTTTTACAGATTAGGCATTTGATTTTGGTATGGATGCAGAGTTCACTTTCATGAAATTGTTTTTGTAACAAATAAAGCAACCAGCTATACTTTTTTGTCCATTTCATTCACACCCCTTTAAATATTTTGAAAAACCTTTTTTGAACTACAGCAATCTGTTCAAAATGGGGAAAAATTGAGTCAACCTTTGCTTTTTATATAGGTTTTAATGGGTGCAGCAGGTAGCTGTTGCTAATCCATTAGCAGTTGTGTCTGGCTTTGGAGAAGCAGGAATTTTTGTTTTAACTACTCTGGACATGGCTGTGTTTGATCTTATTTAGCATAAAAGCAAAGACACTGTTTTCATTGGCAATAAATGTATTTATTATCACACATTCATGTAGAGTATTTACAGAGAGAGCACTGGTCAGCGAAGAGAACTGTTGCTTAGAACGGCACATGAGAAAAACAATGACTGGAACAATATTGTTTTTTTTTGTACCATATTTGACTAAATTAGAATTAGATTACTCGATCAATTACTTTGTTCCATGTTGGCTTTTTGTTCTTTGTTGTAGCTGCATAGCTGCTGATAAATGAAATATTTTGCTCTTGCAGCCAGCAGCCAACCACCTGCAGTAGCAGGTATAGTCTACCTGCTATATTACCCACATCAGCTCTTTTAAAGTTGGCATGACTTTAAAAGAGCTTCACTGCTTTGAAATCCAGCTTGCTGCAGTCTGTGCAACTAGATATTTTTTTTTACTTTTTGGTGGATAAGAATTACTAAAGTGTTCACACTTGTGGTTCAAGGATATTTTCCCCTAAGCCAGTCATAAAACAATTTTCACTAATTCCATTGCATTTCATATTATTCAACCTTACCTCTTTTTTTTTGTGCTGGTATTTTCCTTATACTATGTATATTCCAATTGTCTGTGCACTCAACTTCACGTCTACACCTCCAACAATGTGGAGCTCAGGGACAAGAGGGAAATCTATTTAAGCTGGAATAAAAATTCAGGCTACAATTTTCTGCTATGTTAATGGACAAAATACAAGCTAAGGTTTGTGGTTAATTTTTACTTTCAGAGAGTTTCTGCCTCAGAGCTGCAGTTTTGGTTTTGAGTGTTATGTTCTGACAATTCTGTTGAAATAACAAACTTCATTTAGATACAGAAACATTATACTGAATGCCAACTTCTTAATGAAAGACATCTCTGAATGTATTTCTTAGGACCCGGGTGAAGGCACTCTACCAGGCAGCCACAGTCTGACAGCAAAGTGACAAGTTGAACACAGACGCTTAACACCAGCCAGAATTTATTTCTCACTTAATTCCAGTGATGGAGACTTTTTATAGTGTAGATCAAGAGATCTTCAAACTTTCTGAAGGTGGTTTTGTTGGATGTTTTCACACATTTAGTCTGACTATGAAGAGATGAATCTTATTGCGTCATTAAGAATTGGGGAAATGGAAAAGTGGAGATGAAAGTGAGAGAAAAAAACAATTACAAGCAGATTAAATGCATCACCCTTTTGCTGATCATCTACTGTCTTGGAAGTATTATTGCCTTCTTAAGAATTACCTTGTTGGGGCTAAAAGTGATATTTTTTATTTGTTAAAATACTTTTTCAGTGAAAATAACACCTAAAGATTCACTTTGTCCAATTTGATCAAATGTGTTGACAAAACCAGATCTTATCTTTAACCTAGGAGTTTTTTTGTTTGTTTGTTTTTTAACTTATTACGTTTCCAAGGATTAGAATTAAATTTCGGGTATTGCGCCAACAATGTGTAGAAAAGCAACTAAAGTCAAAAGAAAACTTTGTAAACAAAGGCATTCAGGAAATTCAATCAAATATTGATCAAGACCAGTGGAAAGTTACCAGAAAGTCTGACTCCTTGGAATAATATGTAAAGAAAAAAGGTTTGCCTCCAAACATTTAAACACAAGCCTGGTATGTGGAGAGTTTCTCCTTAAGTTTCATGATGATTGCTTGTGTTTTTCACAAATTTCTCTTTCCTGTAAATTAGGGAAAAGCATAGTATCCTTTATTAAAACAGCTGACCACCAACGAGTTGGGGAGGGGCAGCACCAGGTTCATTCCTGTCACGCCATCATTTTCTCTGGGATCCCATTAAAAAGACATTAAATCACATGATCAATTTGACAAAACATTCTACAGGTCTTAACATTTGTGAGCCTTTTGAAACTTCTGTATTTTAAAATCAGTAATTACTACAAAGGAAAAACATGCATTATATATTTTCAGCAAATTCCCAGTTTTTTTTCTTCCTAAAACAGTTTCATTTTGAAATGTTTGCGAGGTCCAGGGTTCGTAATCCTGAGGCAGACGTCTCAAAGACAAATGCTGCTTTTCATTTCTCCTCAAAGTGTGGAACCATCTGGCAAGCACAAAAAACAGTTCGCTACAGAGATTTAAAGGCAGACTGTGCTGCAAGTCAACATACGGACACCAAGGACAAGACCGTGACTCAGCTGAAACCTGCCCAACATCTCTCTGCTCATCTCAATGATGGCTTATTTTCCAGATGAAACAGAATGGAGGGAGTACATAAAGAGCAACTGCCACAAACTACTGAAAGTCAGAAAATGAATGATTACAGCAGGAGTTTGGTGTTTATATAATTGAACCTGTTCATAATTACCTTCACAAATGGGAAACAATTCGTACTACATTTGGATTTTCTTGAGGAGAGAAGAATGGAGACTTTGTGGCTGTCGAATCTGAGCGAGGAGGATGAAATCTCTGTGATGTGCAGTGAGCAATAAAATATTTCTATTTACATCTCATTTATAGATTTCTCATACAGTACAGGAAAGCCCTCATATGCAAGACAGGCTTCTTGTAGTTTGCCTATGTAACAAGATTAAACCTCTATATATACATGTAACATCCTCAAACAAGCAATATTTTCAAATGACAAAATATATTTTTAGATTCTATGAGCAGTTTAGAACAATTATTTTCCAGCTTATTCTGTCATATTGTGGTTTTCTTCCCCTCAAATATCTTAAATAGTTTCCATTAATGCAGTCAAAGCTCTTTGAAGAAATTAGTGATGCTGCTTCAGTTCGCAAGTTAATAATTTTTTTCTTCTGTGACTGCAATCCGCACTTGTCTTCGTTTTGTGGAAATTTCTGCAGTTCCTCAAAATTTTCACACGAGGGCGACATGCTTCACGTTTGCCCTTTTCCACTCAGCCTTTTTTCTTTCTTTCTCTCTTTCTTTTTCTTTCTGGTACCACAATCCGCTTGCTTCACCAGAGTCACACAGCAGACAAGCTTGCAGCATTTCTGATCAAAAACTTATCAAAAAGAAGAAGGAGGCACGCTGTAGCAGAGAAACATGCATCTGGTTGTTGCTATACTCAGGGATCTGCAGCCAGAAATGTCTTTTCATTAGCCTACTGTAAATATAGGGATCGATTTAGAAGGCATTTTGAAGACGAGTTGAGCCAATGAGTGTCGAGGTCTTACTTATATTTATAAAGCCTGTTTTTGCAAGAAGTGTGAGGGAGTCACCTTGTTGTTGGTAAAGACTGGAAGATGTTTCATTCTAGGACTTTAGCAGGCACCTCTGACAAAGGAGGTGAAAGTTTGAAGCGCTTATGGTAATTGATTTTGCTACGCTGCTCAGCATATTAATAAAAGGTCTGAATAAGGGATTTGTTCAGCATGCATCTGAGGTCTCTACTCATTTGAGGTCTGTCTAATTTCTATACATAAGGTGCCTCTACTGCAGTACTTTGCTATGAAACAAAACATGCTTGCAATATAAATTTTGGCTTAAATGAATTAATACAAGCCTTAAATGTTTTCTGATGAATTATCAAGGTGCACTTAAAAAAGGCACTTTAATTTTAAATAGTTCTGCAATGCCTCTTTGTCTTCATGAACCAAGTGGAGTTCATGAGGAGTCTAATATCTCTAAAAATGAGATGTAGTAGTGAACATATTAAAGTCTCGACATAAATGAGTATCAGGACTTTAACCTTTTCTAACAGTGGGTCTAGTGTTTCAATAATTTAAGCATGCTGTTAGATCTGAGCTACTCTGATCTCTGCATAGTTCTATTTCTGTATCATTGCATGCTAGCTGAGTAGCAAATGCCTTTGATTGGTGGTGGAAAGCTTTGATCGACTAAGCTGCGGTTGAGGCCATGGAAAGTCTGAGCTTTTCTTGGCTAAGCTGGACTGCACCTGAGATGAACGCGGTAGAGCTGATCGAACCACAGGTCTCGACTGAAGATAGTTACAGAATGCAATGCTTGGATGTAGCGAGGTCGTCCATTTCCGGCTAGAGTGGTCTGTGGCTGGTCAGGCACATCCAAGGAGAGAGTTGTGGATCTGAACTCTGAACCAAAGAGGGTTCAAGGTGTAGGTGAAGTTAGGTAGTCGTCAGTAGACCTCTTGTTGGTCCATCAGCCCCGTCTCTAAGAGCGGTAGTCCTTCTTACTGTATGGTCTGTTGCCAAGGATGTGGTCAATGTCCGACACAATGTGAGAGGTCATCTTAGGAAGGACCTGGACAAAACAGTGAGATTTTACATAAGGCTGGAAGCAGGAAATAAAGTGAGACAAACATAATCAAATTTTGAGTATATTGCAAAAGATGTAAAGATGGAAAAATAGCAAATTCATCCATCTGTTTTTTAAAGTTTCCACATTTAAAGTCTGCTCACAGTCAAAATACCCACCATAAATATGACTCAACCTTTTGTATTTATACTTTGAAAAGTGGCAGTTAATACATAAATAAAGAAGACAAACTCTAGAATTGTGACTATGGAAAATGATGAACTTTTGACATTGCAGATCTGCAGGAAACGTTTTGGTTAGATGTTTTACTGAACCTGATGCATATCCTCTAAAATTAATCCTGAACATGGTTGCCTATAACTAGTAATGTGGCGTTCACAAACAATCTGATTCTTTTGAACGACTCTTTACCAGGAACTATAGAACTCAATTCTATTAGTGAGAGCCATTCTTTGACTTTTACATCTTTGCTTGCTGCACTGCACACACTGCAGTAATTATTATTCTATTTAATTTAAAATGATACTTATTTAAAAGTCAAATAAATAAAGTAAAACAAATGGCTGGACATATCACGTCCTGGTGGCAGATGTATAGTAATATGCAGCTTTGTGCATGACACTGACACAGGAGAGTCATGGTGGTACGCTCCCTTCTATTTGGTTTCTTCTGTTTGTCGTTCAATGTTCATAGTTGGGTGCTTACCATTAATGTGTTGTCTTAATTATTACATTTAATGATTCAGAAAATATTTTTGTTTCAGCCAAAGCAACTCAAGTCCACATTTTTCCTCTACTGGTTGTTACATTTTCCTTTTGTATTACAAGTAACATTCAAATATAAATAATGCACACAATACTTACACGGAAGGAGGATAAAATGGCTTGTTCTTAGAAAAAATTTACATTATAAAACATTTATCATTTCAACTGCTCTTTGAAATGCATGAATCCTGAAGGTTTCCTGGAAAGAGCCTTAAAGTCCCATCTTTAATTCTAACCATCCACAATAAATCAAAATGATTTTCAAAATCACAAGTGATGCATGAACGAAATAATTACCAAAAACTAATTAATTATTAATTAATTTGAATTGAACATGGCATGACATTATCCACATGTGCAACACCTCGATGCAAGGCGGGCGAAAACAGAAAAGTGTGTTTGTGTTTGTACCTGGATGGCCCCGAGGTTCTCTGTAAGCTGCTCAGGGTTGGATGTTCCCAGAAGGACTGAGCTCACTCCTTCATTTCTTAAACACCATGCTGGAGAAAATCACAATGATCGCTAAGCACTGAGCATTATTAACAGGAGAAAGGTCAACCTTCAGTCTGTCCTTCAACTGCATCTGGGATTCTCAGTGGAGTTAGCTTTGTTTTTAACTTTATTGTTCTGTGATACTGTCCAAAACAAGAATGAATAGGAAATGCCTGCACTTTAGTGTGACAGGCAGTCAGTCCTAGCTAGATAACATGCATTTTGATGATATCTTTCGAAGGTTGACATCACTGTCAGATGCCGTCTCAGATGCTCCTTCAGCAGAATGTGTCACTCAGTCTTACCCACAGCCAGCTGAGGCAGCGTGCAGCCCAGCTTCTCTGCAATGTGGTTTAGCTCCTTCAGCTTAGCTTGCTGCTTTCTTCCATCCTCGCTTACTATTTTCTCCTTCAGCCACTGATATGACTAGCAGAAGATACGAGACAGACAGAATGAGTGATCAGTAGAACAAGAAGACATTTCAAGAGAATAGAGTAAGAACAAAAAAAGACGAAAAAAGGGGCCAATTTTGCCGTTTCAGTCATAGAGTTGCACGCTTTAGGCATCATACAACAAAGGCTCTATTTAAATTCTGCAACCTGCTCTAGTAAATGTTGTGCAGAGCATAGCAGGTGACCTTTAGCCATACTGACCTTCATTGAGGCCCGTGACGATTCTGGGATGCCGTTTTCATATTTTCCCGTAATAATGCCACACGCTAGCGGCGACCAAGTCATTGCTCCGACTCCTGTGATGATGAAAAACACATAATAGCCTCTTTTAAATGAAATCATGACTCTGAAACCATATTTTGGATTAGACTAGGTTATATTTTTCTGGTATTAAAATTTAGACAATCTATAGAAGGACAAATACATTTCTTATCACTTCATCTATAGAAAATATGTAGATATTCATGTTTTAGGTAACATGTCAGAACATCACAATAGATTTCATAACCAGGTTAAGTTTCTGTTGAATCAGTACTTTTAGCCTGTCCTGCAAAAACATCTACTGGACAAAATAGATTAAGGTTGAAGAAATGACTTGTAGATGTTGATGTACATGCAGTGAATGAAAAAGTGTCTTTTTTTTTTTTTAAATCAACAGTCTGGTCAGCCGAGCAAAAAGATATTTACAATTCACATTGACATAAAGAATACTTGCCTATTTTATGATAAAGTTCAGGGAGTTGCACCTCCACTTTCTCTCTCTGAAAGAGGTGATATTCTGCCTGTTCACACACCGGAGGGATCAAATTAAACTGCCGGGCCACCGAATACGCCTCCTGGTAATTTAAGAGAATTTAAAAAAAAGGGAAATGAATAGTTATTATACTGTAGTCTAATCATAAAGTGATTTTCACACTATATCATTCTCGTTCAGATATGTATGCCTGCAAGAGCAAGGCCAAATTTGTAATGCACAGCTCAGAGTCAGACAATCAATCTTCTGTACTGATTCCCTGAGACATTATACTTAAAGTTTTTCATATACCTGGAAGTGTTTAATCATATCTATTCCTTCCCTGCGTGTTTTAAGAGCAAAATACTGAAGCGAGCGTGCAAACACGTTTTTTTTTTGTTGTTGTTTGACCCTGATATAAACCCAATTCTAGACATAACCCTGAAAATCTTGAAAAACATCCAAATTTGTAGGTTTCAGCAAACTCCACGTCTTCAGCCATCAGAAAGTTGGATAAGCGACTCCCTTGCCCAAATGCTCAGAAGAAAATGGTTGATTATTTAAACTATCTTTAATTTGTTTGTCTCCTGCCCTCATCCAACCTAACAATTACCAGCTACCCTCATGTACTGCAGTTTGTGACATATGGCTCCAGCCTGATCATGTGGGTCGGAGCACACATACAGCAAATGGCTGCCATGTCACGTACACTTCAACGCCCCCTTTTAGCCCCCTTCATTACTGAAGCTGTATAAATAACAGAGCTGTCACTGGGGCTTGAACTATTCAAGGATATAAACTCCCTTTCAGCGAGATCACAGGGAGAGAAGATGAATACAGACTGCAGCGTGTCTACAAAGGGCGTGAAGAAGAGGATATAAGATGGGTGTTTTGTTCACCGCTGTTAGTTTGTGCTCCCAGTCTCAGATCTTCAGATCACAGGATTGTCTTAGCCTTATAATTACAAGCTCATGTAGGCGCATCATGAGCTACGTGACCAGGAGTCACTGGTTGTTTTCTTTCATTCAGTATCAAGCACTCTTACCTAGGTGTCTGAATCAAGAGTAACCAAACTCTGACTTGTCTCTGACTTTGTATTTTGATTCAAAACTTGACTTTAGTGATCAGTATCAGTGATCATTGTTGGTGGATCTCTTTCAATTCTGTCAAACTCCTCCTTACCCAGCTGGACCATAAATCTTGAAAACATCAGAACCACAACAGGCCTGGATTTGACATTGCTGCATTATATGAGAATATTTCTCTCCAAATTGATCTTGGGTGGCCAGTTGTGAGCAGCAATAAATGCAACAATAAATGTTTCTTTTTTGCTGCTGCATATAAACAATCTTCCATCTTGGCTATTTCTTCAACCTGCTGGTTTATTGAATTTCTCCATCCCTGCCTGCTGTAAAATATTTGGATAGAAGCTACTTTTGCTGTTATTCTGCTTCCTGTGGTCTTTACGAAGGCTGAAATCTCATTGGTGCAACATTTTTATTACCAATTATCTTCAACAATCGTGCCAAAGAGATGTTCTAGTGGCCAAAAGTTGTGATGATGCTTAGGCTATGAGGAAGGTCCCCCAAACCGTGCAGAAAGAGGGCAGCTTTGCTCTTGAAATATCTGGGAGGACATGGTGAAAGAGCAGCAGGCCTGAGGATTCATCGCATTCTAATAAATCCAGACCTTAAATTGTCCACAACTACATGCCAGGGTTCCACATCTGTATTTCCTGACATTTGGCTCTGTTCCTCAAAGTTCTGTTGGTGACCTTTTCCAGGTGAAAAGCTGGCTCCTCAATCATTGATGGGATGGAATTAGGATTCAACCTCTGGAGAAAATTATCTTGTCTGTTTTCCTCGCTTCCCTCAGAAGTAAGAAACGTGTTCACGCAGGAGATCTTCATGTTCAGTTCCAGATTTTTGGTCGATTTGATTTTTTTAGTGTGGTTGTTTAAATGCGAGTCATTTGCTCTAAAGTAACCTGCATGTGTGGGATAAAACATAATGTCACATGCAGCTCATGTAGTTTAGTGATGTAAATGTTGTCACATCAGCATGTGTGTATTAGACTACGTTATGATAAAACTTATTTTAAAGAAGACTGGACCAAACAACAGAAAGTGGCATGTTGACCTTGTAAGTAACATTGTTCATCATGGATTGTGAATACAAAGTCATACAGTTTTCACATAGAGCAGCAGTCACATTATGTGCTGTGAATAGTGTGCCTATTGTTCATTTTTTACTTCTTCCTGAGCAGAATTGTGGGTCTGACGTGAAAGCTGTCAGAAAGGCAAAGTGATCGTCCAGAACGAGATTGCTGTGGAAATGTTCTAAATTTTAGAATCACTAATGATAATCTGGCTTTTAGAATCTTTTAAGACAAAAATAAAAATCACAGTCCAGAGTTCAATAAACCCAGAGCTTCACATGTGGCACAACCAAGATATATGCTCAGAGTTTGATGATGCTCGCTGACTGGCGCTCTTAAGGTGACCAAAAATGTGTTTAAAATCCTTCGTATTGCAGCTGAAATTGTGTAAACCATTGTAATCCAGGTCAAGGGTGCTGATGTTACATGAAATAAATTATATTTCTAGCGTTAAAGTAAAGGCAGTGTTGCAATTTAATTATACTGGGATGTGACTTTATAACAAGTTTAGACTGGAAATGTGATCTTCAGCACTCAGGAGGATGATGTGTTCTGATTTTACTTTCTTAAAATATTCCACACCATGTTGAATTATTTGAGATGCTTTCCTCTTTTATTTTAGTTACTCCAGGAGAACGTGATAAAGACATTTAAGAAAAGCTGAGAGGTGCGTACCATAATCTCCATAGCTGTCCACCGAGACGTCCCCCAATACATGGCCATGCCTTGGTTTATCACATAGGTCATCGCTCGAACAATTTCTGCAGCAAAAGCACATTTGAAATAATATGAATCAGCTGGATAGTAAGTAAGCAAGTCGTTGATTTAATTCACTAAATTAAGTGTTAACACCAGAACAACACTTGCCATCTAATTCTAAATACATAAACACTCTTGATCCTTTTATGGGATTAAAAAGGCATTTAATATTTGCTTCCAATGAGTTTCAGCCATAAAAGGAGAAAAGAAGTATTTTCTAGTTCTATGATCTTTGTTTATAAAGATATTTTACCCACAACTCCTCGAGTTGCATCATTAGGTTTTACCAAGTTAAAATTCTTGAAATATTTTTTTTAAAAAATCTATTAAGCGCCTTTTGCTATCCAATCATTCATTTGCTAATTTAAAAACTACTCAGAATCTGCGCTGTATTGATGCTAAGTGAAACCAAAAGGGCTGAAAGTTTCACATGTTGATGTTAGAAGTAGTTTTTAGCTGCAAATTACCAAGCGTATAGTGAAGGAATGCTTTGTTAATGCATGTTTGGTAATGAGATATTATTTTTTTATTGAACAAATGAAAATTAATCATTTTCATTTTCCTTTTTACTTGTAAGCCTCAGAGGTCAGTAGAAAAATCTGCAGAATGTGCTCCTTGTTTCATCAGATTACTCAATTGTAAGAATAATCCACAGAATAATTGATGACTAAATTAATAGTTAGTTGCAGCCCTCATATCTTAAGGCAACATGCTACAGTGTCTGCCGTGATAGAAGTCAGACACTGTGAGACCGAGCCAAAGAGAAAAGAAGCAACAATGATGGTAGTGTTAAAATACCATCCCATGGGGACAGGAGTTCATTATTTAGTTCTATTATTGCAAAATAAATAAATAAATAAAATAAAATAAATAAATAATAATGATAATAAGAAATACTACTACCTGTAAATTGGTTTGTCTCAAACTTTTAAAACTCAGGGATTTTCTAACAAGCTGGCATTCTCAAAGCCCCTGTGATCACATTCAATCTGCTGCATTTTTAACGGAGCAATTAAAACTCAACCACTGCTGACTGAGCAAGCCGGGAGCAGTCAGGGCCAACAAAAACTCAAATTAGGACCGTCATTATGGTTATTCATCATCACAATATGCTCACTCCAGTTATAGCACCATCCGTCACTGTGGCGGGACTCTTATTTTTCACTTTGCACGAGTAGTTCTTGGCAAGACAGCAGATAATGTGTAGCAATAAAACAAATAATGAGAAAACAAATAATGGCAACAGAGTTGTAGGGCGGGTGGAGGAAACGTGCAAACGCTGACGAGCAGAAAAGCAAAGTCCAAAAGATCCACCAGAACTTAAAGAAAAGCTTTTCTTTTTCCTTTTCATCCAGCAAGAGATAATTAACAACCTGTCTTTCTGAACTGCCTCCTGGCAACGGAAATAACATGCTGCAATAAAACAACAAAATGTCAATTTCTTTGTTCCTGCTGTTTTGTTTCCAACCCTCATCCTGCCCTCCTGACATTTCGTCTGTGTTTTCTAACCATGCTGGGTTCACATTTAAATGCAACCTGACACAATTTCCGGACCATGTAGTGGGAGTGAGAACAAAGCAAGTCTGTGGAAAACAGGACAACATTTCTGATGCTTGAAGGAAGAGACCAGCGAGGGTTCATAGAGGGGGGGAACGAGCAGGACAAAAGCAATCAATAAGAAGCCGCTGGGATAAGAAAAGGGAAGAAGTCTTTGTGTTTTTTCAGAACCACAGTTCACTCCACTAAAGAGAAAACAAGGTTTCACAATAAGGTGTTCAGATCCAAGCATCGTATCAATTTCCAGCACATTTTCAAATAAATTGAAAACCATTACTCATATGTAAACTACAAAATAAGAGTAAATATACTTTATCAGCTACATTTTAGACCTTTTAGAGGAACAAATAATAGTTAAGTTAAATTCATCAGTATCAGTAAAAGTCAGTCATTAAAGTTGCTGTCACTCTTGTTCTCATTTAGTGTATGTCAGTGGCGTATCTTTAGCACTGCGTTACAGTATGTATGGTCTATAAGCACCTCTTTAATAATCAAATTTGTATTCCCAGAAAAAAATGACAGAATTACAAAAATACAAAAACTCCTTCTAAGCTTTCAATTTGAAGCTAAAAAAACCCCCAACATATTAACTCTACATAAAGACAAGACTTTACTGTGTTTTTTCCAGTCTGATCCAGGCTGCAGTTTCAGCACTTTAATTACTTTATAAAATTGTTTTGGTAAAGAAAAAAAGACAACTTAAACACAGCTCTTAGTCATCATGTTGTGGCTCCTTCCCTGCAGCTGCGTATCAGTTTGTATCAAGAAGATTACAATTTGTAAGCGCTCGGATTTTAATAGGATGAGAAGCCAATCATGCTTTGCAGCAGAACAGCTGAGGTTCCACGGTGCTTCACTGTGAAACAGACTTTTTATGATTTCCCTGAGTTGGACAGATGAATATGGATAAGATGACTCACCCTCCATAGGAGTATTGCTGTCTGGGCGGTTGGCAAAAACTACGTCTACGTACTCCATCTGCATCCTTTGTAGGGAACCTTTCAGACCTGAAAGATAAACAAAAAAAATAAAGCTAAATGGAGGGTTTCAAAGTGTGTTTAGAAGAGATTTTTGTTTTTGAGCTTATAATAAACTCAAGGTGACCAAAAAAGAAAGTTTCACCTTCAATGATGTGTTTCCTTGACAATCCTCTTTCTGTCTCGGCTCTGATAAAACAAAACAAACCAAGGCAAAAAGCTGAATTAGTCGTCGGCTTTAATAGTCTAAGAAAGCTAAAATAAAAAAAACTTTCAGTGCACTGAGGGTTTTTTTTTTCTTCACAATTTTGGGTTAAAAAAAATGCTATGTTTTTTTTCTGAAATTGATCTGTCAAAATGTTGTGGTCACTCAGACATGTAGCAACTAAAATGAACATTTTGATATGTTTTATGTAAATGGATAAGTGTGAATTGACATCATATTTCCAGCTCACCATGAATAGATGGAGGTTTGAATCTTCTCTGCAGGAGCGTAAAAAATGTTCTTCAACCTCCTGAGAATAGTTTTCTATTTATCACCAGACCCAGAAAGCAGGGTCTTTCAAACAGTCTGATATCCTCTGAGTGTTGGAGTTTATCTGTCTGAGTGTTAGAAAACAGGTTTCTTTTTTTTTTTTTTTATTATCTCTTTTACTAGGTTTCAAATTGTTAACGGAGAAAAAATCTACAGAAAAAACTGCACAAAAAACTAAACTCATAAATATTACACACTGATGAAAATAATAGGCTGTAATCCCCCCCTTTTAAATACAAGATGTCAGAATAAAACATACAAAAAAAATTAATAGTTGAATTATTAAGTGTGGTGCTTTCCTAATGCAGTACAGTTTTTAATATGATGCAGCTGATAACCAGCTGGCATGAGATTCTCGGGTCGCAAACACTATGCCAGTTTTAGAGTATTTAAAATTTAATTATGAAACAAAAATATAGCACTGTATTGCATCATAACAGATCAATGAAACAGCTAACCCAACTGCTGCAAAAAATAATCCTATTACAGCTATAATAGTTTAATCTCCTATCAAATTTCAATTCTGATCAATTTTCATAAGCAAGAAAGCAGAATGAGAAAATACAATCCTCTCAGTGTGTAATATTATAAGCTTTGCTCATCATACTTTTTAGACAGGAACAAATATCAAAGAGTTTGGAACTTGCTGTATAATTAGTGGTTATCTGTTCAATGTTTCATTTTAAGGCACTACCATATTAACATTTTGACTTCTAAGACAAATGAGACACAGGCTCTTTGAGAACATCCTCATTTGCAGCATCATAAGTATTTTTTTGCTATTTTTAGTCGTCTTTGGTGGCATAGACGACTAACTCATGTAACAAATGCTTGATTTGATCAATCACACAATGACAAAAAACTATTTTACCAATGATTTAAGTTAGAAAATATATTTACAGTGAGAATCAATCAGACATTTATTTGGTGAAAAGTGAAATGTTTTACTCACTTTCCTCCCCAGTAAAGCTTAGTTGTGATCACCAAGCTCGACCGCCTAAAATGATGGAGGGAAAGAAACAGAAAACAGGAGCAACATGACCTGGGGACACAAACTGCACCGGAGTGGTTCACCGTGTTCTCTGCTTCGACAAAATGGACTTGGCAGCATTTTCTCCACATTGCTTTAAGTGATTGAGAGGTGCCCTTGTCCAACATCCTGCTGACCATTCATCAATGTGGGATTATTTGCTGTTTAGAACAAGACATCAGGGTCTCTGGAAAAGCAGACCTAATCGGTTTGATGTGTGAAGTTGACCGTTTAATTCACGATGTGCTTCAGCCCAGGAACTACATCTCTGGAAAAAATTAAGTGACCACTTAAAACTATCAGTTTCTCCAATTACTCTTTTTGGTATATGTTTGAGTAAAATGAACATTGTTCTTTTATTATATGAACTAACGACAAGTCTCTGAAATTCCCAGCAAATATTTAGCATTTATTTGCAGAAAACGAGAAATGGTCAAAATAACAAAAAATATGCAGTGCTTTCAGACCTCAAATAATGTAAAGGATACAAGTTCATGTTCATTTATAAGCAACAATGCTAATGTTTTAATGCAAGAAGAGTTCAGAAATCAATATTTGGTGGAATAACCATGAGGTTTTCAATGAGGTTCAGTGCAGTGATCTCTTTTTTTTCCAGAGCTGCATATTATTTAATAAAATAATTAAATATAGTTTTTCAAATAAAATCAATACATTTAGTTGAGGCACATTAATATTTACATTATTTCTGTGTTAATTTTCATTTCCAGCTTTCAAAATTAATCACACATTTAGATGAATCTGTCGTAAGTTATTGATTATATTCATTGTAATTTGTCACTGTTCAATCTCCATAAAGGGGACTTCAGTTGCTGAATCTGCCAGAGTTGAATCCCGTGACAAGACGATAGTTTAGAGTAAATTTTGGTCTACAAATTGATCCCATGATTTTATATTAACTCCAAAAAAATGTTATTTGTAATACGCTTCTGTGAAATGAGACGTAAAATAGCACAATTTTCCATTAAAAAAACAAAAAGAAATTGGGGTGTTAAAAATAAATTTAAATAAAAATTATTTAGTTTAACTGTATGCAGAATAGAAAAGGATCTGTGTGAATATTTAGTGTTTTGTTTGTCTTCCCTTGCTAGAAAACAGTGAAAACCAGTTTCAATTTTCAATTTGTTAAACATTTTGAGTCAGAAAGTTTGTCCAGTTCATGAACGTCTTGCTGGATGTTTTGGACTGTTTTGGTGTTTCAGTCATTTGCTTTAGATTTAGTCACCATTCTTCCATATATGTTAAGTGTTTCTTTAATATGCATTCTGAATCATTTTTATCATGTAGTATTTTTTTTATATTGATAAAATTTTGAAAGACACAGACTTCAGTATCATGGGAAAAATCAATATATGGCTGCACATATTATAGCTCTGTGTTGTATTGTTGACATAAACGTAATACAAACTGGTAACAGCCTTACTCAGCTGCTGTTTTTTGTCCTGCACCACTAATTCTCCTCTCTGCACATTCATGAGGACACTCAGTCTGAAATGTCAGGTTCAGTGAGTCTTAACTGCAGCCACATCAAAACGCCCACCAGTGTAATGTAGTCAGCCCAGTACATGACACCACTGTGAGCGGCATGATGACGGAGCCAAATCAGAACAAAGTGGCAAAGTGGCAGCAGCTAAATGTTCCCACATTTACCGCAGCGTCTGTGTTACACAGGGATACACTTGTTTTCTGATGGAAACGTTGAAACAATGTGGAAAATGTAACTCAGCTTATACTTCCACAATTACTTGCTTCTGCATAATTTGAACAATTCTATAACATTCACAATATCACATTGAATAAAAATGTAATTATTCATATGGTGATCCCCTATGAAAATGCCAGCAGGCGAACGCTGATACATTGAATATTTTATGTTGCACTTCTGATATAACATGTATGTGTGAATATATAGCAGATTTAAGAGCTAACTTTAAATTACAACACAAAAACAGAGCAAGGATCATGTTTGCTAAGCTCTGAACATTCATGCTTTGAAACCTCATGCATGTTGACTTTATACATACGTGTCCCTTTACACACTGAAGTGTTAACTCAATCTGATACATTAATGTCTTCATTACCTCCAGCACTTCTTCTTGATGATGTTTCCTAGAATGATTTCGGCCCTGCAAGGCAACACAAATGAGGCGAGGCTATTAAGCTGCATTTTAAAGTCAGAACTGTTTTTAGCACATCATCAGCAATGCAATTTCCTGCTGTTAAACCGGACAGGGCAACATTTTTTTACAATGTGTCCTTAATGATTTTATGGAGACCTCATGTTACTCCATGTTCAATGTGTTTCTAAATAATTCATTCCCCATTAAAATTTTCACTTCAGTTACTTGTATTCATATGTAAATGATTGTGAAAGACCAGTACATAATTGTAAAGTGAAACATTTATTTTCAAATATTTTAACAAATTCTGAATTGGATTTAATCAGGTCATTGAAACAGTGAATGTGTGCACAGAGTTGTTGACCTCCTGGAAAGTGAACTTCTGCCCCAGTTTCAGGTATTTTGCATCTTCATATTTTGCTATATCAACTTTGACTTGGTTTCCTGTTCCCAATGAAGAAATTAAAGCATGATGCTGCCAACACTGTATTTTACTGGGTCCTCTGCAGGGCTTCATACTGTAAACATGACTTCTTGTGTTAATAATGGCTTTCATCATGGCTTTTTTCCATCCATGTCTAAATGTCCTGTAGTACTTTGTGCTGCTCTCTATTATAAAAAAATTACATTAAAGTTTGTGTCTGGAATATGACCGAATGAAAAGATGTTTAAAAGATGCTGTGATGTTTGTTCCAGCTTGCCTGAACTGTGCATGCATCAGTGTCAGCATAATGGATGAGTACATTGTCTCAAAATATGGTCATTTTCCATTTTTGACCAAAAGTAATTTTATTATTCTAAATGCTTCAAAGCTAAACAATATCCTTACTTAAGCTATCAAAGTTGAAATAAATACATATTTCACAAGGACATGCATTTTTTTCCACAGAAATCAGAAACTCTGTGTGCGTCTAAAACCTACAGCCAATTTCAAATTAAAATGAAAGACACCCTCCAATCCACAGTCACACATCAGTAAGTAAAATATATAACTGGCGTTTGATCGGCTTCATTTAAACTCTGAGGTTCATACAACACCCACCTGCCGCATGCGTAAACCTCAGCTGTGTCAAACAAGTTGACTCCGCTCTCATAGGCGATGGTCATTAGCTGCTCTGCAACCTGCCAAGATGTCAGATCAGGCAGAGGGGAGAAATGAGAATATAAAGTCAGTTTATTAACCAGTTTTAATATTTTTCCACCTATTAATCTTTTGTTTAATCATTTAGATGTTAATTTAAAAAAAAATTCTTCCAGAGAGTGAATTAAACATTGATAAAACCGTGAAAACTAGGACAACTAATAAAAGCATGACACAGTAGATTTTATCTAAACAACATTAGTGGTGCATTTAAGCTGCGAGGCTTCTGCGGAGCATGAATACTGTTTGAAGTAACTCATTCATGTAACTTATTTTTATGGCGATCCTCAGCATAAATATAGCATTTAGTAACAGAGCTTTGCCCTCCCAACAGCAGCTGAAAATGCATGAACGTCTTCAGGAAATAATGATTCCTCAAACAGGGATGCAATGTGCTCTTAATAAGATTTTGCTGCTTGTTGCCCAACTTGTGAAGTTGCTGCAACTTAAATTTAATTGAGTTACCAAAAGCTTGGGGGAAAAAAATATCATTCATGGAAAACAAAGAGGTGTCAACGTTATTAACAGGGTAATAGCGTTAATAGCGTTAAGAACCAAATGTTTCAACATTTTTCAGTCTCTCGCTTTGCTGTGGATTCATTTTGGTCAACTGCTTTTTTTCAACATCACTTCAAATCTACAGATTTAGGAACTTTAGCAGAAGGTCATGTCATGTCAGAATAGCAATGACTGTTGCTATTGACTAGACATCATAATCTAGCTTTTTTTTTGAAGTAACATTAAGAATGACCATTGCTTTCAAAGTCCATTCATATTCAGGGAGATGGAGAACAACGTTCTCACTTTTAAGTGACTCTGTAAGAGTCTCGGAGTCCTGGACAGCCCTTAGGACAGGTAGAGCAGAATAAAAAGAAAAGTAATGCATTGTATGAAAAGAGGGACTAGTTAAGTGAAGAAGTATGAGTGGATGGAGAAAATGAACTTTTTGTATTTCCATTCTTCATACTACTAGGCACACAGTACTCTGGGTACCAGAGAGTGATCCTTACTTTAGGGAAGGAACACATTGCTCTTCTTTTCACAAAGGTCCAGAAGGTAATTTAAAAGTTAGTGAGATGATGGAAGTGGAATGAAGCAAGCAAAAAAAGAGAGAAGTGCACAAGAAGCAAAAAAGTATTAAACTTGTCAACTTGATAAATGTGGAGGTGGGAGATGTAAAGACTTAATAAGAAACAAAGGCTGAAACAATGACTAGAATGTCTCTCCAAAGGGCAACATGTCCTTTATGTAACTAAAAGGTCGCATTGTTGAAAATAGTAAAAATATATGTCTGAAACGCCAGGGTTTTTACTATAATGTATTACATTTACCTTTGTGTACAAATTGATGCTTTTAACTAAATGCATAAACTGAAAAGCCTTGCTTTTCCACTCTCATTGGTAAATAAATGAGTCATTAAAGTTTCAGAAATATTATGCTGGCAACACCTCAGGCTTCTTTTTTTTCCTGGTCTGCAAAGGTTTATAGAAAACAAAAGCTCGACAGACAGAGGGAGAACAATGAAAAGCAACATATTTTTTTCTCTCACAGATCCAAGGCCGCCACATCTTCCCACATGCTACCCACACAGCAGCGAGAGAGGACTTTATGACGATGCTGCTTCCTCACCTCCAAACTCCAGCTTGCATTAGAATCAGAGCTGCAACTCCAAGGGTTTCTAAAACTCACTATGCAATTTATAGATCTGGTTTTAACCTTTTTGAATGAGTAAGCAATATATACTCGCTTACCCACACACTCCTGAACTTTCTGTCTGGAAACCAGGAATATTAAAATAGAACTACACTTAAATACACAAACAAATAACTTTTAAAAACTATGAGTGATGACTCTTAGGTGAAGTACTTTTTTAATATTAACTGCAATATTTTTTTAGAGAACCCAAACATAAGAGGTTTATACATCCTAATTTACGGGACCTGGCATTAATCATATTTAACTATGCAATGCAGGACGACATAACCCGACAGAACACCATGCAGTTCTTCTTTGGATTCATCAAGTCTTCCACAAACAACCACATCAGTTCCTTTTTTTAAGTTTAGATTTTATTGCTTCAGGTTGATCAGAGTTTCTAATAACTCCCAATAAGTAATCCATGACTTCTAGTTTTTCCGGGGTTTTACATTTGACACGACACAGAGACCATTTCCTCAAGGCAATGAGAACTTTTTATGAACTTCCTACCAAAGCTGAGTGTTTTGCAGAAATTTATAATGGCAGATTAGTGACAGTTTTTCCTCCCAACACTTAGAACCCCAGTGAAGTAATTCTTAAGAAAAGGGAGTCTGATGACATGAAAACATCTGGTCAAGTCCGGCCACATGGATTGGGAGTCAGAGGAAAAAGACCATAACTCTACTATTGTATAATAGAGATCAATTAATTTTATAGGTTGTTTTTGTACTGAGGTTGTCAACATACAGCAGTTCTGTAAAATCTCCCATTTTCCGATAAAATATTTTTGATGTGGGATGAAGTGCTTTTTCAGTTCTATTGAAACTGTTATATTTTACAAAACTGCAATGGAAATACTTTTTTTCTCATATGAATCTCCTTATATAGTTTGTATATGCTGTATAGTTTATAGCTATAAAGCAGCAACATGCTTTTTTTGTAGGCACTTATCTCCCTGGACAAGAGGTCAGATTAACAACAGTTAAGTGTTTAGTTGGCAATTTTCTGTAAAATTGCCAACTAAAATTTTCCAAAAACGCTGCACATGTAGCCACCCCTAACAATAAGGGGCTTGTTGCTGCAACGCCTCATTAAGATGCCAACATAAATGATGACCAATAGCGCCGTGGCTCTCATGAAAATTGATCTCATCTCATATCTTAATCATGATTTTAATTGCAATCCTTAATCAAAACACCACAATTGCAAACAAAGTTTTGTTCACATTTGTGATAGAAACGGAGCAAATGTTTACTTACACAGAAATCTTCTGCCAGCTGCACTAAAAGGAAAATCTGGATATGCTTTTTTTGCGACTTTTTTTCTAGATGTGCACTGCAGTATTAAAATTGATTCAGTATGTATTAACAAGCTTTTCCCTCATCTGCTGTTCAAGTCACCTGAAGTTACTGAGAAATATGAGTGACATTGGTGTTGGCACCAGGGACATACAGAATAATGGGGTGAAAAAGGGTTCAGCATTTCAAGAGGTCATCATGTAAGTAGACGGCACTCAGCCCTTAGGTAGGAAAAATGACTCAGTTACATAAGCATTTTCTTTCTCTGTCCTCCGGGATCAGCTCTGCTCTCTTTTCTGTCACTCTGTGAACGAGGATCCGATGACCAGGGCCAGGAACCTGAACCCGACATCAAATTATATTAATGTAAATAAGCAAGAGCGTGAAGGGGTCCTGTGCTCACATATGTACATATATAATGTGTGTCCTTTGCCTTTCAAAAGTTTCCATGTTATCTAACTACCAAACTTTGACTTTGTGTATGTGCATTTCTCATTTAAAAATGAAATATCTTGATCTGATGATCACATCACAGATTTCTCTATATTCCTAGAAGTTTTAGCAAGTAGTCATAAGACAGGAAATGTTTCGTCTGACTTCATTTCAGACGAACAAAAGGTTTTCTGAAGATTTTGTGAATGTCTGCTTTGTGGTTGTGTTCTACGTGTGACGGCAGTGGATTATATTCTCCTCATGTGCACTCCAACAAGAATCCTTTTCTTTCAGACCTTGGAAAACAAACTTGAACTTTCATGCTATTCATCCAAATGCTAAGCCATGAAAGAAAAACCCATCAAGCATTATCATTCCCGCAGTAAACAATGGTAGTATAAGCATTATGCATTATGGGGTTGCTTTTCTTCAGATTGAACAGTTTAATTTCCAAGGCTGATGAAGTTATTTTAGATGGATTTAAATGGGTAATTTTGATCCCAAATTGTCATAAAAAGAGATTTTATTTTCATTGTCAAATTACTTGTAAGTCCAAGGTTGTACTTAAAGTAGCAACAGAGATGAGTTTGTGAATGTAAAGATGTGTAATTCCAGCAGATTTATTGAGACGCTGGAGTTTTTATTAGGTTTGAAATGTTTTAATCACCTTTTTAAAATAATGGCCTAAGTAACTTTTTGCCAAAAGTGATTTTATTTAGTCTAAATCACATTTTGGCCAAAAAAAAAAAAAAAACTTATGCCATTATTTTAGGAATGTGATGATCTGGAAGTTTTTTTTGCAAATTTTTTTGTTTGTTTTAATTTATGCCAGATTGAAGGTGGAAAACCCTGAAAAGAAATACACAAAAACAGAAATAAAACGTGGGAATGTTTTCCATACCTCGTCTGTTATCTGTCCTCCAAATGTCACCCATGTACCTGCAGGAGAGGGAAAAACAGAGACTTCTCATCACTTGGGAATTTTTCACCATTTCTCCACTGTCAGTCTTTTTGTCAGTGCTGCTCTGTGTTTGCGTCTGAACAAACACAGACGCAGTAAACACAGTCGTTTACAGTTGCAGTAAACACAACTAATCCCTGCATTGTCACACCAGCCGATGGAGTCTGTCAGGCTCCCGAGAGGAGAATCTGTCCTGTTCAGTGCCGCCTCTCTGGGCTGAGGGCTCACCTTGTGCGAATGCCTGTTAGTCACTCTGTCTTTACGGTTGACTGTTTCTGTTTGCCGCTGTCATGCATATTTAGAGGACCTTGACTTCCCTGTCCTGATGTACGTTTTCTGACTACGTGCCTATCTGTGTGTGAAGAGAGCACATCTGGACAAAAGGTCCCCAAGGGCCTTGCAGACAAAACGAAAGAGCCAGACAAAAGGATGATCCCTCCACTTTCATGAGGAGACAGTAAATCCTCGGTGCACAGTTCCTTGGTGAATACATACCTGGAAGAAAATGCTTCCTATTCAGCTCATGTCAGAACAGGTTTAGCTATTTGAAAACTGTCTCCAGAGAGAATCATGGAAATACATAAAGCGTTAGAAACTGCAACAATATTTGTGCTGCCTGCAAAGAAAATTTTTGATTTTATAAAGAAATGGACAATAATATATCATAGAGAATGCTTATGGAACATTTATGGGTAATTTTTGTTGAAAGGAAAATTATTATTTATAGATTTTGGCTTTCAAAGTTTGTTTCAATTATTCTTTTGAACAAATCTTTCACTATCGCCTTCCCAGACATTTCAAGAACCTACATAATAAATGAATATTCAAACTCTTTTAAGTCAGTTTTATTCTGCTGTTGTGATGATAAATTATTTACACATCATGTTCTCTAAACATTTATTTTCCGATATTGTCACTGGGGAGAGGGATATCCATTTCCCTTGTGGATCTATTACCTCTATAACAAGATCTCAAAAAAGTCAGAGATGATGGATGGGCGGACAGAAGGACAGATGATGGGAGGTTATGATAATTTCAAAATACTGTCCAGGGCAATTGACCAAAACAACTAAAAATGTAAAATAAACTAGATAAATTATTGTTTCCTTTTTAGTGTCTGAATAGATTATAAAGAATCCCAGGAACTATGACAGTTTTTATGTTTGTAGTCTCCTCCCAGACTCAGTTCTTCTGTAAGAAATGCTTCAAAATATTCAGGAGTTAAGACCTCTGAGTAACTTAGTGAAACTTAATGGTGTCAGACATACAACTGGAATCTGGTAAAAATGCATTTAATAAGCTACATTCAGCTCCTGCAGACAACATTAAACATTTAGACTCTTGATTAAACTATAAGTTTCCTTTTTATTTGTTTACATTTTTATTCACATTTTGTTATTTGGATTTTAATAGCATTACAATGAATTATCGTTTCATAACATTTCTTGCAAATGAAAATCTGAGTTTTTTGTTGCATCAATCAGAGAAGCAACTGCAGGAAACATGGCAATGTAACATGGCCTGTACAAAGGACTTGTAAAAACCTGAGACGGAAAATCTGTCCTCACATGAATCGAAAAATATTACAACAGTGTAACTTTAACTACATCTCATTTGGTTATGAAGGATGTTTGCCGAAATGTTTTCACTATTGTTGTTGAAGTGTCATTAAGTTTAAAAGGTTCCACCAAACAAAATAGATATAGAAAATAGCTGTAGTATATATAAACATATTTTCTTCAAAGAATGCAACAATTCACTGATTATGATAATGACTGGCCACTCATTAGCTCAAAAGAATCAGCTCCTCCCTTGTTCTGCTTTGGAAACTGAATCTCTCATCCAAATGCTGAACATTTTACACAAAGAGGCTGTTCTTTCTCTGACTTTACTTTACTGACCTCCACTTCTAAACTTTCATAAAACTATGGAATAAAAACAAAAAGCCCATCTGCGCATCCCACTAGAGGAGAAGTAATGATATAGCGGTGCTCATTATTCTGTACAGATGGCACCCCAAAGACACACTGGCTCTGTTGTGCCGAAACGAATTACTACAATCTAATGAGGAACAGAAAGTTCTGAATTTTGACATGTATCACCAGCAGAATGGCAATCATAGTTTTGTTCACCAGAGGAGGGACGGGCTGAAGCAATGTCAGCGCCTGAAGTAAAAGCCTCTTCAGGACATTGTTAACGCCAGTAACCATGGCAGCTTTGGTTATCCTCAAATGCAGCTTGAAGCAGAGTCATTTCAGCAAGGCCTTACAATGCTGCAGTGCAGCTTCATAATACACGTTTCTACCTTTAACCACATTCTACGCACAAGCTTTTTGCACGTATGCAAGTGCTCAATCATCTCTCTAATCTGACGCCGGAGCAGTGGAGACGTAACCACTGCTGACGAAGTGTGGTCGCAGCTCTGGGCTTTTCTGTTTGAGACTCAGCGTGGGATGACAAGCTCGCAGAGCTCTAATGTCAAGGCTGCTGCTCCTCATGACCCAGCGCAGCCTTCTGTTTGATGGAAGCTAAAGCCCTGATTACATCAAGCTAAAGATGGAAACTGCTGAAGGTGTCACTTGATGTTGCTCTGGGGCTTTAGTTAATGCAGTGACCTATTAGCATCTCTAGCTGAAACTGTGTCGAGTTCAACTCAACCAAGATCTAATTAACTTTGAGTAAACAACTGGGGAAGATGGTAACTATTATATTTAAAGTAAAATTGTGCCCTATGATAAACACTGCTTCTTATAAACAAGTTATTCTACGAAATGGCACAATCTTGGCAAAAGCTGTTTTCCCTTTAAGGTATTTTAAACCTAATTTACATTAGATGTCATGTGATGATTGATAAGTGTTCAAAGTAAACCCTTTGTTGGGCTTCAATTTACACCCAACTCTCCTTTGTCAGTTTTTCACACAGCCCGGCGGCGAATAGCGAAGCGTAGTCATGTCTACTCACATCACAAAATTTTCTTGGAGAATGGACCGGCCTCTTGATAATTGTTTTGAGAACCAAAACAAATGAAAGGAGCTGTGGCTAAAGTGAAAAGAAAATGACACTTGGCTTTAAAACTATCCTTCTAACAAACATCTGAACAGAGTGTGGAGTGCATTTGTTCTCAGCTCCCAACAAGTCATTTGGAGATGTGTCTGCCAATGTTCGACATCGAGAGACATGGAAAATGATGGAAAATGTGTGTGGCTTTGAAAATAACTTACCCTTGGCATATGAGGATACAAATTCAGGATCTCTTTCATGTTCCCACAATTAAAACCAGATTATTAAACATGGTTAAATCATTTAATAGATTTTAGAATGGCAATTCAACAGAATCAAAGTAGCTTGTCTTACAACTCGCAGCATTTCCTGTGTAGGATTTCCGGCTCTGTATCACAATCCCTGTGCAGGATGTGTAAATGCATTAAGTGCTTTCAACAAAATCAAAGTTGTTTGGCATCTTCCTCAGTATGTTGTTATCAGGACCCGATTCTGCTCATCTGAAGTCGGGACAGCAGCGTTTCTCCAGAGTCCTGTTAACAACCTCATTATTTGACTCAGGTGTGTTGAAGAAGAGGCATGTCTAACAGTTGCAGGACACTGGCCCTTGAGTCCTGGATTTGAAAACCCCTGCTATGGCTGTTCAAAGGTAATTGTGTCCATTCAACCAGAACTTGGCAGCTAAAGCTTCAAAAACTAAAGTCTGTCCCCTGGTGCTGAACTGTGGCAGTTAATGTTCATTTGTGTTTTTAGCCACTAATGAGAGATGCGATTGAATGGGAGAGGATAATAAATCACTCAATAGACCTCTGAAATATTTGTCCTCCTTACTTCTGAGGTGATGGTTGAGCCTGTGACAACTGACAACAGCAGAAAACAAAAAATTGTGAGGACCTATGCGGCATCTCTCCTTGAGAAGCACCACTGTGACATGCTCCGTCCAGCTGTCTTGCATACTGCAGGACTGCAGGAATTTCTTGGGGAACTTTCTAAGAATACATTATTAGTGCTGCATCAGTGCAGCAAGAATCCAGGGAAGAAGACCTGGACCTGAATAATGCGTTTTGGGTGAGTGAGACAACAATAAAAAAGCCCGAGATGATACTGCTCATGAATTCTGCATGAGCGCTTTTTCATGTTAGCATCACCAACAACCTAAAATGTGCTTTCACATTAAAAACAAACTCTCTGTACAATCTCTCCATAATTCCAACCATTAACTAAGTGTGTGGGTGTGTGTGTGTGGGTGTGTGGGTGTGTGTGTGCTTTCAGCATGACACTGCAAACCCCATGGTCAGTGTGTTGGCAGAAAAAGGGAGTTATCAGTGGCTGCAGGCTGCTCCTGCTCTAACGTTCTCATTAAATTGTTAAGAGCCTATCAATCAGTCCATCCTCCAGGTTCCTCTCTCTGGATGGTCTTTGCTTAACTGATTCAGTTTCAAGCAGACAGAGTCAATTTCCATCTTTAGAGAGATGTAAATGGTGGTGTAATTGTATTATGTTTTGGTTAGATGTTAGCAGAACGTGAGCAGAGATGAAATTATTTCCCGATCCATAGTGAGAGAGTTCAAACCGATGTGCAGTCAGTTTCTGAATATTTTAAAGTGTGACATTCTGAAATACAGTCAGACAGGGACTAGTGCTTGTTAATATAATACGCCGACAGTGACTTGCAAAGTTTTCAACTTCCTAAAATATTTCATATTTTTGTACACAACCACAAACTTAACTGTGTTTTATTGTGTTTTTATGTCCAACCATATTTATGCCCCTCTACTCTCTTGACCTGAAATGAAATTGAGTGCAGCCACCTGCCTCTAGAAGTTGCCTAATAAGTAGATTGAATACACTTGTTTTAGTTTAATCTCAGCATGAACACAGCAAGCCTTAGACATGGCCGTCCACCAAAAATGTCAGGACGGGCAAGGAGAACATTAGTCAGAGAAGCAGAGAAGAGGACTGTGGTAACTTTGGGCT